GGCGGCTTCCCTGGTACCCTCCAGGGGCGGAGAAGGATGAGGTGTTTTTTCCCGCCAAAACGGGAGACAGGAAGGGTTGGCGGGAGGGAGCTGGTTTGGCCTGGCTCTCCCGAGAGGGGCGGGTTTCTGTGTGGGCGCCCTGGGGAAAAATCATAAACACGTTTATTTGTGGGGAGGGTCGTTTACCTCAGACGTTCCCCTCTGCTTATTTTTTTTTCCTCTCCTCTTCCCCCCCTCCGCGTCCCGGTCCTTTAGGAAACTGGGCCGTTAAGACAGAGGTGGTGTGAAGCCTCTCACCGGCCCTCCTCAGGCAGGAAGCGACCCCTGTGATCGAGCAGCAGCAACAACAACAACAACATGAGCCACGATTTCAAACCCGGGGACCTGATCTTCGCCAAGATGAAAGGCTATCCCCATTGGCCAGCCCGGGTAAGGCGCCGCCAGGAACTCGCCTCACCTGCCCTGCCGTTCCTCTGCCGACCTGTCCCTGGCCAGAGGCGACTCCCTATCTCCCCACCCCATCTTTCCTGAAGCCCCATTCAGGTGTTTTGGGCAACGTGGCCCGACCCGGCCCCCTCCTGGCGTTTTTTCCTAGCTGCCTCTGTTTTCGTTATCCTTTCCTCCCTCTGGCCTCAGCAACCTTTGCGGAAAGGCAGGTGCCTGGTGCCTGTCTTCATAGAAGTGACATTGCAGATGTGCATCTGCTGTTTTTTCCCCTCCCATTTAGACTTTCCTGTGAATTCTTGCTGGTGTTGCTTTGCAAAGTGCAGATGGTCTCTTTGCTGTGAATGCAGTTTTTAGTAAAACAGCTCTGCAGATTTTTGCTTTAGAAGATAGCTAAAAAGGGTTGATTGCTCATAGCAAAGTTCCTTATTAAGTAATTTTAGATAATTTAACAAATATCTGTTTGGGCAGTTTTCCTTAGGAAGTTGAAAGCATTCCCTTTCACTTTGTTTTTAAATGATAAAAAGGAGAAAGAAGCAAGGAGATCTAGAAGAGGATGGTTTCTGCTGTTTAATCTATATATTGCTAACCTGCATGATCTAGAAAATTAAAGATTGAATATATAGGAGCATAGAAAATGATATTGGAGTACCAGCCCTCGTGATCTGAACTAATGAGACTTTGCTCACATCTTGCCTCTCTTTTAGACTGAATCATAAAGCAAGGCCTTTATGTTTCCCGAGTGGTACCAAATCTATAGTTGGGGGTGTATGTTCTGGATTTCAGGGATTGGGTACTTTTGTTAACTTAACTGGGCTACTCTTATTCTTCTTTTGTTACATGCTGTGATGCCATGCCATATGACCCTGATAGGGTTTCCAGGGTATTTGATATATTTAAGGTTTGGGGATTTGGACCCAAGTCTTCTGCTAGTCCAACACACTATGCATTTCACCACATTTGATGCACTATTCATCCTGACTGCCATACAGGCACTGGCCTGGCTCCGTTCCTTCTTGGAGGACTGCCCCCAGAGAGTACAGCTTGCAGAGAGTGTTTCAGCCCCATGGAGTCTCAATTGTGGGGTTCCACGGGGTCGATTATCTCCCCAATGCTGTTCCACATCTATATGAGGCCGCTGGGTGGGGTCATCAGGGGGTGTGGAGCCTTGTGTCATCATCAGTACGCTGATGACACTCAGCTCTACATCTCCTTTTTGCGAACCGCAGGAGATGCCGTTCTGTCCCTTCAGCGCTGCCTGGGGACTGTACTGCAATGGATGCAGGAGAACGGGCTGAGGCTGAACCCGGACAAGACGGAGGTACTGAGAGTGGGCGCCTCCGCAGTTGGGGGCCTGGAAAACTCCCTCTCTTTTTTTGGGGGGGTGACTCTTCCCCAAATGGGATGGGGTCCGCAGCTTGGGGATCCATCTGGACCCGGCGCTCACTATGGAAACTCAGGTGGTGTCGGTGGTCCGTTCCGCCTTTTTTCATCTTAGGCGGATAGCCCAGCTACGGTCCTATCTCAGTGTTGCGGCGCTCACTACCTTGGTGCATGTGCTCATAATCTCAAGATTAGACCACTGTAATGCGCTTTACGTGGGGCTGCCTTTGAGGTTGTTGCGGAAACTCCAGGTGGTGCAGAATGCAGCAGCCAGACTACTTAGTGGAGTGAAAAAATACCAACACATCTCACCCACTCTGGCTGCACTGCATTGGCTGCCCATTCAGTTCCGCATCGACTTCAAAGTGTTGATGCTTACGTACAAAGCCCTAAACGGTTTAGGGCCTCGATACATGGCGGAACGCCTACTCCCACCAAGATCTATCCGTGTCACTCGTGCGAGCCAGGAGGGGAGGGTGAGGAGCCTAACGCCGAGGGAGGCCCAGAAGGAAAAGACAAGAAATCGGGCCTCCTCGGCGGTGGCTCCTTCCCTCTGGAACAATCTACCTCCTGAGATTCATGTGACTCCCTCGCTGGGTATCTTTAAAAATCAACTAAAAACATGGATGTTTTCGCAGGCCTTCCCTCCAGTCAATACCTGATGTCCCCCTTTTCTCCTCCCCCCCTTTGTTTGCCCCCATCTTGTTAAAATGTGCACTATCATGTAAAAACTGTTTTATATATATACTTATTGTGTATTTTTATGCTGTAAGCCGCCTAGAGTGGTCTTAACCGACCAGATAGGCGGGATATTAAATAAATAAATAAATAAATACAGGGTGGACTAGATTTCAATCATGGTTTCTACATAAAGTCTCATTCTTGCTGGTATAATAATAGTTACAAACATGAAGGTTTCATTTTTGGAGTAACAATTTTTCATATCCGTTTTAATCATAATAAATTATGAAATTATTGTGAGGTGAACTAGCTCCAGTTTAATAGGTTAGTCGTTCATATTTGGACAACTTTTCTACTATATTAGGAGAAAATAATAATTACCTTAATAATAACAAATAGTTTTAACTAAAACAGTAATATGATAGCATATGTACTCTTATATTTGCTTAAACATCCATTTTTGTTAACTGAAGTAGTTAAACTAAATATTTATTTTTAAAAATAATTTAGGCTGCCAGTTCAGTCCACACAGGAAAAACATAAAATTCTGTCCTCTGTAGTTCACTCATCTTCATCTTATTTGTTCATAACCTGGAAAAGAAAAATAAGATTTCCTGCTTCATTGGGTCCCAAAGGATTTCTCCATTTAGAATGAATGAGTCAAAAAGAAGGAAATATTCTCTCTGCACCAACAGAAGAAGGTATTGCTCTTAAAAGAGAAATCATTACTTCAGCAGTCTCTAAATCCAAATGCTTAAGTTATTTCTACCAGTTCACTGGTGTGACTTTAAAACATCATAAGCAAACCTAAAGAATTTAAACATTTCATGAATACACAGGCTCATGCTACATAATTAAAAACTAATCCTTATTTCATGAGATACCTTTGGATAGGTTTTTCCTTAAAAAGCATGTTATTTTAAAAAATCTAATTTAAATTTTAAAAATCAATTTTTTTTCAAAATATTTTGATCCCTCCAGATATGATATATGATCAGATGAGGGTTATGTGAGAATGAAAGTGATCCTGAAAAATCCTTACTGAAATTTTCTTGTACTGGTGCGTTATCTGAAGATAATAGTCCCATGAATTTCACACTAAAGAGAGAGCACCATTTTGATTGTTGTTCATCTGAAGGATTTCTAGATCTTTTATGGTTTAATTTGTAATCTGAGGGCGAAGCTCTGGGGTCTGGTGATAAAAATCATGGTGATCCACATTGGAACATGGAGCCTGGTGTTTATGTCAAAATATAAAGAGGTTATTCCATAGGAATAAAAGAAAATGTACGTGTTCAGACCCTTTATGGGGATTTTTTAAATAAATTCATATGATTCATGGAATGTGCAGAATTTTAGGTTCTCCAGAATGCTTCATCAGCGTGGATAGTAAAAAATGAGGGATGGGGAAACCATAGAAGTCTACAGCATTTTGGGGTAGATTTTTTTAAAAGTAAGAGTTAGGTATCATAGTATGTTCCAAAAAAACAACAACAAAAAACAACAAAGTTTGTTGGGATGTTTGGCAAGGTTTGTTTGTGACCTAAAGTTTTGTGGACTGCAGCCTATTTCTTCAGATGCATCATACAGACACCATAAGGCTCGTTCTTTTTCATGCCATTGCTACATGTTTCATGCTATTGAAATCTGTAATGAAAAGTCTTCACAATATGAAGATTAGCGTATCACATGACGTCTAGTAAAGCTCACTTTTACTGACAACAGCAAAGATAATATGGTGGTTCCCCTTCTCTGGAAATAGAAAGATAACATAAACTCAGGTATAGTTTTAGATTAAATGTACCAATTTATTTGGTGGCATTCAGCAGAACTAGTAAGAAATAGTGATCCTGGTATAAACAAAGCAGGAGATGAAGTTTCCACAATTAGATGAAAAAGTGAAGACAAGATGAAGAGATTTTTGCCTAATTTCTGAATCACAGTCCCTCACAGGTGATAGAAAAACTTCTTGAAAAACTTCTGGTAGTAGATCCTGTTCTGAATGGGTGCTGTGAATAACTGCATCTTTTCCTTTTACGGTGTTTTATGATACTTAACACGTCTTTCAGTAATTTCTTATAATATCTTTAATTTTATTATGATGATTCTTATTTTAGGTAGATGAAGTTCCGGATGGTGCAGTCAAGCCACCTACAAATAAGATGCCTATATTCTTTTTTGGCACTCATGAAACGTAAGTTGTTTTTGTTTTTGGTGTTACAAGTATGAAACGTATGGGAAGTTTTTGCTAATATTAATATTCATCTTAGAAAAGACAGGCAATCATGTTGTGAAAATGAATTTTCTTACATTGCAATGGTTTTATTATTATTTTTCTGATTTCTCTTCATTTCTCATGCTATAGTAGTCCTTAGTGCTTTAAGTAGTTTTAATAAAGCATGAATATAAATAACTTTCTTAGTTAGACTCTAACAGCTAGAGAAATATATTAGCTTCTTGTCTGTTTATGCAGGTGTAACTCTATTGGTATAATGTTCAGTGGTGAACTGCCAAGAATTAAGAAGTAAGCATAGGCATTTCTTACCACCCATTGAGTCATATAGCTAATATACAATATGAAATGCTTGTGCTAACTTCATAAGTTGCAATGGTTTGCCACTGAACTTTATGCAAATTGGCATCACAAAGAAGATTCTGAGCATTATAGAAAAGGCTTATAGGTCTTGCAGTACAAGACATTTCTTATATCTTATAGAATCTTTACCTCTGTACTGTATCTGGAAGGACTAATAAGAAAGGAGAACATCAAAGATGGTGACAGGAGTATAAAATTTCCATTGAAGAATTCTTCTCGTTTGCTTTAGTTACTTTGTACCTTGCATCATGCTACAACATTGTTTTAGAGATAGTATGGATATATCTATACACAATGCGCAGATTTGAATGTGGTACTTTGATACAGTACTCAGCTGATTATTTTAGCCCTTTCCTTAGTAAGATCAACCTTGAGTTGGCCCTTTAAAATTCTAATTGTGTTATTGAGATTAAAGAATTGTTTAAGAATGGGCTTGATGTTTTTTTCGTTTGTTTGTTTTGTACATAAACATGGGTGAGCTCTTCTATGCATCCATAAATACATTTTTCCCTATGGGCTCTGAACTGCAGTGCCAAAATTAAACTGCCAAAGTGTTAATAGCAATTTTCGATCTCTTTGGTGTATACATCAGGATGAATTTATTTTCAGTCTGTTATTCATCACTTTTCAAAACAGTGTTGAATCCCCTTTGTATTTCTGTTGACTATGTTTGAAGAGATCCTTTTGATTATATTTTTAGCCTGTTTGAGAATTTGTCTTGAATTCATTGATTTTATTGCAAACATTGCTGTTCCTCTTCAATTCCTGATTGTCTAAGAAAAGATAACATTAGATATACAGTGGTGCCTCGTTGAGCGACGAAATCGCTTAGCAACGGAGTTTAAGCAATCGCTTAGCGATGGTCCCTATGGGGGAAATTCACTTTGCGATGATCGCACGGAAGCGATCATCGCAAAGCCCCCATTTTCGGCCAGCTGATCGGCGGTTTCAAAATGGCCGCTGGGTAAACAAAATGGTCGGCCGCTGTGTGTCCTCGCTTTAGAGGCACCGAAAATGGCCGCCCCTATGAAGGATCTTCCCTTTAAGGGTAGTTTTGAAGCCCATAGGAACGCATTAATGGCATTTTAATGCATTTCTATGTGCTTTTTAATTCCGTTTAGCTATGAAATCGCTTAGCAATGTTTTTTCCTGCACGGATTAATGTCGCTAAGCGAGGCACCACTGTATGGGCTATTTCAGTTATCAGCCTGTGAGAAGACTTAGATATTTTTCCATGATTACTGTGTTTCATCAGGAGTAGTTGGTGAGGAATTAGCTAGGAATTGTAAAAAAATTTTTAGCATTTTAAATGAAAAGTTACAAAGCATAAATAGTTCCCATTGAATCAGTAATTCTGATAAAAATTGTTAGTATAACGTGCTAAAAGAGTGTGAATTGAATATTTTACTCTCTTTGTAGAGCTTTTTTGGGACCAAAAGATATATTTCCTTATGCTGAAAATAAAGACAAATATGGCAAACCAAATAAAAGAAAAGGCTTTAATGAAGGATTGTGGGAAATAGACAACAACCCAAAAGTTAAGTTTTCCAGTCAGGTAAGTTATTGCCTAATATGGAAGTACAAATAACTTGGGCAGATATTTCTAACAACTTTCTGGTTATAATCTGAGTGGAGATGAGCTTAGTTCCATGTGTCTTGCACATTAAAAGGATAATTTCTAAATAATTTTTGCACCTCCTTTTTTTCCTCTAAATTACCAGTTGTTTCCTAATTAGTTATAAGATATATTTCAGAAAAGGTTATGTTTCAGTGAATACCATTGTTCTGCCAGTCTGACAGTAGGCTATGCTTACTCACTTTAAGGTGTTCTTGCCACCGTGATCTGCCCTAGAGAAGATATAGTTGTTCTCAAAACTTTATTATAAAGACTGAGCTTTTAGAAAGTAAATTACTATTTAAGCTGGCAGCCACTCTGCAAGCTCTTTGTTCATTAGAGGGACTGGGAAGGATTCCCAAGCATTCTGTAGCTGCTCAACTTGCACTGATGAGAAAGGTGTGCAAACTGAGGAGCCAGATTGGTGCTGCACTTAGAGGAACCCAGATAGGACTCAATTTGTTTTGGGGATCACCTAGCATTATACATATTTGCTACTAAATATTTTTATTGTGTGATTATTTGTCATGCAAAACCTTCTATCTGCATTTGAACTCAAGAATGCATTTCTCGTCTATAAAAGAGTGTCTTATTTAGCAAAGTATTTTTATTTTAGACACATTGAGCATGATGGGACTTTCTAAGTAAACATGCTTAGAAATACAGTGTTAATCAGTTAAGTTGTGGTATAATTGATAAGAACCTAATTAAATATCCTGGTATGAGTCCTGTCACATAAATTTCAGTAACGAATTAATGCTAATTACTAAGTTGGCATTTGAATTTCTTTGAGCACACCAAGTCACATGACTGGTGTAGAATAAGAATAACCACCAGATTCTTAACTAGCAGTGCTTTGTTGAATAGAATTCAAAATATTTTAAAATTGTATGCTTACTGTCACATATTTGCGATGCTGCTTTATTTATGTGGGTAATAATATTCTCATGACAATCCCAGCCAGTGATTAATACTGCAGCTGTTCAAGAAACTGTTCAAGAAAGTGACTTGGATATAACGGAGGAAAATGATCAAAAAATGGGTGCCAAACGGAAAAAGTCTACTACTCTTAAAGTAAGTAGTTTAGGGTCAACAGGTTTTTTTTTTAACATAACTGCTTGTACAAAATATCTGTAATGAATAACAAGATTATTACTAGTAATTTGACAAATAACTAGGGCTGAAAGTTACACATTTAACAAGTAAGTTAAATAAAGTTTTAATCATTAGTGTCTAAGGCTGAGGTTTTGCAATAAGAGTAGATGTTAATGGCATATGTCTTTGCACTAATCATGCCTGTGTACTAAAAAAATGAAAAAGATCACGGTACTTCTAACACTGTTTTAAATCTATGATACTATACCAACCAACCTAGAAGTAAGCACTACTAGACTTAATAGGACACACTTCTGATTAGACAAGTATGGGATTGTGCTTTGAATTACATTTTTACAGTATCTTAAATGCTTATACTAAACAACTTATTACATAAGCCATGTTTCCCCGAAAATAAGACAGGGTCTTATATTAATTTTTACTCCAAAAACACATTAGGGCTTATTTTCAGGGGATTTTTTAATGTATATTTTTTATCTACATTTATTCAAATACAGTCATATCATCTCCTTCTGGTTGTGGGACAGTGGTGGACAGCAGGGTTTAACTTAACTGGGGCTTATTTTGGGGGTAGGGCTTATATTACGAGCATGCTGAAAAATCATATGTGAATGGGTTTAGTTTCAAATTTTGACAACTCACTTTGTGTGGGAAATACCACAGAAGACGTCTTCTTAACTTTAACAACTTCTTTATTAGTAACAGGTACATCAGCATTACTCATGATGGGATCGAAAAAGCTTACTTCAACAAACCATAACTGTCCAACACATAATCTTGACCACCATCCATTGAACTCATAGGGATGCTGGGCCAAACCTCTCCGTCTGTTGGCTTCTGGAGGGGCGCGCTCCGCGCTGCGCAAATGGTGCCGCAGCATGGGTGTCTTGCCCAGTCCCCTTCTGTAGGGGAGTACAGTATTGTACTGTGAATCTGGTCTAATCACTTGCCGCCCCACCCCTTATTCTTCGGGAACACTACCACTGACCACTCTAGGGTCTAATCTTCACCTCTCCGCCTTCTTTCAGTATGGGATCTGGCAGTAGCCCACCTAGCTTCAAATTGGGGAAGTCTCTTAACAGCTCTTGAGTCTTCACTCTTTCATATTCTCTCAACCTCTCCAGCTCCCTCTTTCGTTTCCCCAGCACCAATTCCACCTCGAACCAACGCTCCACCTGGCTACTTATACTCTCCTGCCAAACGGACAACTCTTGCTCCATCCCTTTCATATCCCCGTGCTCTTCCACTAAACTCACAGCAAATTTCCCGCCTCGTTCTGTCTTCTCCTTTTCCGCCGTGGCATTCTCCTTTTGGTCTACAGTGGGGTCTCGACTTACGAACGGCTCGACATACGAACGTTTCGACTTACGAACCGCTCTCATAGGAATATATGGACTCGACTTACAAACTTAGATTCGAGTTACGAACTCTTTTTCCTTTTTTTTTAAAGCTAAGTCATCTTAGGTTAGAAGGAAAAAAGAAAAAAATATCCCCCTCTAGTGGCAGAAGGCAGAATAGCAGCTTCCCATTAGTTTCTATGGACGAAAAGAGCAGATACAGATTAAATGGTTTTCAATGCATTCCTATGGGAAATGCAGATTCGACTTAAGAACTTTTCGACTTGAGAACTGCCTTCCAATACGGATTAAGTTCGTAAGTCGAGACCCCACTGTACCTGCTCCTTCTCACTCGCTGTTTTCTCCCCTCCCTCCCCTATTGTATCCTCTGGGGATGGCACACTCTCCACTGGGCCACCTTCACATCATACTAGGGCTTATTTTCAGGTTAGGTCTTATTTTGGGGGAAACGGTAATTCCTCCGAAGGCAAAAAGGCAGGAAGAAAGCGGGAAATTTGAATTTCCAGCCCTTTCTTCCTGCCTTTTTGCCTTCGGAGCTCTCAAAGGGCTCCCCCCCCCGACATTGGAGGAAGCCCTCTGAGAGCTCCGAAGGCTCCCAGCAGCAGTGGCAGTGGGGAACCTCCAGATGCCTTCCAGGGTGGCGGAGAAGCCCTGGAAGGCATCTGGAGATCCCGCTGCTGCGAGCATGGCTGGGATTGCGTGGCGCAACTCCGAGCGGCGGGGGACCTCCGGATGCCTTCCAGGGCGTCTCTGCCGCCATGGGAGGCATCTCGGAGGTCCCCCCCCACACCGCCAATAGTGCTTTGGAGGTACTATCGGCGATGGGGGGGACCTCTGAGATGCCTCCTATGGCGGCGGAGAAGCCCTGGAAGGCATCCGGAGGCAGATCCGTGGCATACAGCCTGGATGCCTCTCTCTTCTGGTCCGTAGGTCGATTCTCCGGCCGCAAGTCGAAGTAAACGTTTGCGGCCGGAGAAGTATGGATCTTGAAAAGTTCGTAAGTGGAGCCCACCGTAAGTCGACTCCACTGTAAAAGCATTTAAATGTATGCTAATTAGCGTATATAATAGTATGTGAAGTGCTACAGTATATTAGAATATCCGCTAGGTGGCACTCTGCTTATGTAGCAAGACCAGATAGGCAGGATATAAATAGAATAAATAAATCAGTAAATTACCAGCATCAGGGTGGATGTTCTTTGAGACATCAGAATAGTTTTTCACTGTAATTCTAATGTTCTTTAATAAATTTCACCTGTTCTTAACTCAGATATATTTGTTATCATATTTGGAATGTTTTTAATTTGTATGTTCTTTTGGGTATGCTCAGGCTGAAAAATGAATAATTAATAAATTTGGATTAACTTCTATATTTGTCCTAACTACTATAGTAGACCCACTTTCTGTCTTCGTGTCAGAAGCACCATAGTACAATTAATAAGGCAGATAATTTTATGGTCAACATCCAGAGATTTTGATACAATTGACTTTACATCTGACATAGTACATGTTGAGAGCAGAGAGTAGCCAATAAGTATGAAGTTACCTGTTCTCCACATTCGCAAAGGATTATGTTACTGCAAAATCTGTAATTTTTATGTTCATTTTGATTCTTCGAGCTCCACTCCACAGCCTTTTAAGTGATTTCTGAGTAACTCTGGCCTTCATGTGTTAGGGAGCTAAACTTTCCTGAGGTTCCATCCATTTGAAGACGTGGGTACATCTTTCCTTGTTATGGTCCTGGCATTCTCCCCTCTTTTTTCAGAATTTACAGATGATTTTTTTCTGATGATTTCTGATTTTTGATTGTAATACTGTATAGGATAGTGGTTAAAGGGTACGTGCACATTTAATGTAAACTTCCATTATTATGTGCTGCCACTGTTTATATGTCACGATACAATGTGTGCTAAGTAATCGATTATATCAGTAAGGGTTGGCTTCAGGCATCCAGTAATGATTTTACAACTACAGCGTTGCCTCGCTTGATGATGTTAATTCGTTCCAGCAAAATCGCTGTAGAGCGAAAACATCGTCAAACAAAATTTAAAAACCCATTGAAATGCATTGAAAACCGTTCAATGCATTCCAATGGGCTGAATACCTGCTCATCCAGCAAAGATCCTCCATATGGCGGCCATTTTCGTTGCCTGTATAGTGAGGAATCCGTCCTAGAAAACAGCGGGGAGTGCATTTTGAAAGCCGGCGGCCGTTTTGAAACCCAACAATCAGCTGTATGCTGATCGTCGTAAAGTGAAAAATCGGTTCCCGAAACACGGAACCGATCAACGTTAAACGAAAAAACCCAATCTAAACATCGTTTTGCAATCGCAAAAACGTCAACGTTAAGCGGATTCATCGTTAAACAGGGTAATTGTCCAGCGGGGCACAACTGTATCATTGTGTCTATCTGTTTTGCATGGGATGCACACACCAGGCTAGCATATTCACACCAGGCTATCATACTCACATAGAAGCATAGAATAATAGCATTGGAAAAGGGCTATAAGACCATCAAGTCCAACTCCCTGCTCAATGCAGGAATCCAAATGATTGTCTCATTTTCTTTTGAACGTCTCCAGTGTTCGAGTACTTGCTGCCTCCTGAGATAATTGACTCAATTGTCATACTGCTCTAACATTAAGGTTTTCCTGATATTCAATTGAAATCTGGCTTCATGTAACTTACGCCCACCACTACATGTCCTGCACTCTGGGATGTTCAGGAACAAATCCTGCCCCTCCTCTATATGACTATCTTTCAAGTATTTGAAAAGTGCTGCCATATCTCACTTCTTTTCTTAAAGCTGATCATGCACAGTTTTTTCAGTCTTTCCTCATAAGGCTTCGTTTCCAGTCCTCTGATCATCCTTGTTGCCCTTCTCAGAACCTGTTCTAGTTTGTTGGAATCCTCCTTAAAACGTGGTGTCCATTACTGGACACAGTACGCAGGAGGCCTAACCAGTGCTAAATGGAGGGGAATGTGTACTTCACAGCATTTGGAGACTATACTTCTGTCAGTACAGTCTAAAAAATAGTATTTGGGTTTTTTTGTTGTTTTGCAGCCACATTGCACTGTTGGCTCATATTCAGCTTGTTATCCAAGATCCTTGCATTCCATATTACGAAGCCACATATCCCCCATCTTGTAACTGAGTGGGTTTGTTCCCATTGCAGTTATCCTTGCTAAATTTCTGTTTCATTTTGGTTCTGCCAGCTCCACTCTGTAGACTGTTAAGTGATTTCTAAGTAAACCATGCAGAGTAATTTAAGAAAATTATTCCTTCTGGAGACCTTTTGCTTTATATTTTAGCAGTGTTTCCTGTAGCATTAGAGATGGACATGAATTTCATCATGGCCTTTCATAAGAAAGGCACTGCTTGGCACCAGAGGTGCCACACTTTCTCTCCCCCCCTCCACCATCCCCCAGGCAGCTTGTCCACCCACAATCAGTTGCATGCTTCCATGCTTTCTCCAGCAATGCTCCAGTCCTGGCAGGAGCTGGAGCTGCCCTTTCCTGCCTCCTCCAGCAGCCCAACCATGCAGTGGCTGCGCAGGGAGAATCTCCATCCTGCTTCCTAGTTGGAATGGTTGGCTGCCAAAGGAGGCGAGAAAAGGCAGCCCAAGCTCCCTCCTAGATGAGCACCACTGGAGAAGGAGGACCCCAGCAGCGGCGATCTATAGATTGTGAGGGATCGAGCCAGATGGGAGGAGGGAATGCATAGCACCTGTGATGCCATGTGGCTCCCTTTGTACAAAGGGGCACTACGAAATTCACGCCCATCTCTAGTCAGCATACAGTCCAAAGTAACACCAAGGTATTTGGTGGCAAAATAATGATTAAGTTGAATGGTCTTTCAAGTGACCTGACATTTCTAAGATGCCTGTTTGTTTCTCAGATGGGACTTATTTCAGCTCAGTAGGTTTGAATGTGAATTAGTTTCTATCATAATATGAGACAAGCTTTTCTAAAACAGTTAGAAAACGTTCTGTCATCTGAAAGCTGTCCAACTGATCAGCAAGTTTGAGATTGTCCACATAAATAACATTTCTTGTGCCTTGAAGTTGATCATTGGTGTAGATGTTAAATATAACAGGAAGCAATGCACTTCCCTGGAGCAGACTATTATTTTGAGCCCTCCACTGACTGTGTTTTCCTAAGTTAGCAAATACTTTGTTAAATTATATAATTTTTATGATACTTGAACATGCTAGTAGCTGAGGGTAACTAAGCTGCCTTCAGTACCTAAAGTACATATACGGTATTTAGGATTCAAATGGCACTTTGGGACAATGTATAGTAAACCACAAAGTGACAGTCCTTCACAGAGGAAAATAACACTGAGTTAAACACTCACTCAATGCAAAGTTGTTATCAAACTCCCATTTGATAACAATCAGGAAAAAAACTAGGGGAGCTAGGACATGGGCTTTCTTCTGATAAGAATGTTCAGGGGGAAGGCCATTTTGTAGCTTCCCTAGTCTGGTCTTTTATCTGTGACTACCTATCTTGTTCCAATTCTGGATTAAAAAGGTTTTGTATTTTTTTAAATACATTTTGCAGTTGACCAAGTTTACCGTTTCAAAAAATTCAGAAACATTAATGCCAGCATTGTACAGATATATCATGGATGTAAATGAAAACAAATGACATTGGTATCTCATTTTCCAGGGACCAGTTAAACAAGATAGTATAGCCACTGAAGGTGGAACAGAAGAAAAAGAAATGGAGACATCAAAAGATGATGCTTCAGAAAAACCTAGCAATGAAGTATGTAGAAGTGAAAACATGTTTTTCTTTTTATCTAACTCAAGTTTACATAGTTCGTAAAAATACATATTTTTCACACAGTTTGCTCTCCCCAGTACTATTTTTCTGTGACATTATATATGAATATAGTTGATTTGAATCAAAACAAATTGTTACCTTACTGATTATGGGTTTAATCGGAATTCTTAAAGTACAGATAACAGATTCTTCTTCTTCGTGGCCTCTGTGAATGCACACATATGGGTCTTTTCTGCATCTGCGCTGACGTTCTCAGAAGATTCTAGAGCTGAAAGTAACAATTTAGTGGTGTGATTTACCCACAAGGCATATGCTCCTTCCACCCTCCATTCCCCTCAGTTCTTTTTTTTCCGCCAAGCTGTACGGTTCTCCTTTGGAAGACTGAGCTTCTCTTTGGCCTTTTTAAAGCTAATTACTCAAACAGCCCTTATCAGGGCTACTATTTTCTTTATCTTCTTTATTCTTAATCAGTTTGAGCTATCATTTCTCTTTTACTCCATTTGTCACTTTTTCCTGCCTTTTTGATTCCCCACCCTTCCCCTTTCTTATGGCCTACCAGTTTCCTTTCAAGTGGTGCACTTCTTGTTTCAATAAGATCTCTCTCTCTCTCTGACACGATCAGTGTCTTTTCTGTCTGGGTGAATCTCACCCCACTCACTCTTGCGCTGCCTACAAAAATCTCACTCAGCCAGCACTCAAACAACGCCTACAGAGGCTTAGATGTCACCTTTGGCAAACCGCGATGAATCCTTCTTTTCCCTCCAGGGAACTGGTAAGATCCCCTGTTTCATTGGGCAAAAGAATTCCCGCAGCTCAAACTGCCCCTTAAACCACAGCCTCCGTCCCACCTAAGGATAAAGCACAGAAAAAGAAAATTTCTAAACCAAAATTGTCTACTAAATCCTCCATTAAACTGATCCTCCTTCAAAGAAGAAATCCACAGCAAAAACTCTGAAAGTGGATAAGCCCTCCCGCCTTGAGTCCCCTCAGCCATCTCTACCCTCTCCCATTTTGGAGGAATCCTCGAGGGGCGCTCATGACTCTGTCTCTGATCAGGAGGACGTCCAACAAATAATAGTCTCTGCCATGACCTCAATCTTAAAACCGAGTATTGGCCATTTCTTGACTGCGCACCCGTCCAGCCTGGCCTCGGCCCATTCCAACCCTACATGAGGGTGGGCAGTTGAAATCTCTGTTTCCGACCTCGAAACTCCCCCTCCGTCTCCCAGAAAACAAACAGAAAAGGAAGCATGTCACCCCACAGAGATCTATGACACCATATGGGGACTTTTGCCCCTTCCTAATAATGCCATACCAGTTTTTCGACCCTTCTGTCTGGCAATCACATTTCGAGTGATATCATACCGAACAGAACAAACGAGCTCATCTTGTTTCTGGACCATCTCAACCTCCTTCCCCGCTAAATCGAGGTCGAACCAAGAAGCATGCGCCAGTCCCTTCGGCATCATCCAAGCACAAATTAGGGACGTCATGGAGCAGGCATGATCACTCACTACATATTCCCATCGATGTCATGGAAACGACCACTCGGGAGCAGCAACCCTATGATACTCGACATCACAAACCGTCACCAATGTCACCTTATTCATCATCTCCCTCTGACGACAATCTATTTCTACTCGCCACTCATGTCCTGATCTCCCCACTCCTGATGAGACCAAGGATAACCAACCTCCTTCTCCTTCAGATTTTTCCTCATATTCTCAATTTATATCGAGAATGGCTAAGGCGCTTCATCTTAACATTGAGGAACCTTTATCGCTCAAAAAGATCCTGTTTTCGATGACATCATTCAGGAAAGGTCTTCACCAGTCAGCCTTTCTTTCAACAAATCTGTCTTACAACTCATTAAAAAGGCATGGGATAAACCTCCTTCAATGATGCAGATTTCACGCAGAACCGAAAACCTCTATAAATCTCATGGTGATGACATCGAATTCTTAAATAAACATCCTTTACGAAATTCCATAATAATGAAATCTAGTCAATCAAGGGACTACAATAAATCTAAAGTCACCCTTATGAATAAAGAATGGAGGAAGATAACCTAGGTAGAAGGATTTATTCCCTACAATCTTTCATAACTGAGGAACATCAATTACCAAGCCACTATGGGCACGTGTCAACGCTATCTCTAGAACAAGGTACTTCCCCTTCTTGAAACAGCACCCGAAGCGATAAAGACTGACCGTATTAATGCCCATTCCGAAGCCATTACTCTGGCTAAACACCAAAGAATTGCTGCACGTCATGCAGCAGAAGCTGCTTCTAAAACATTGGTCTCCATCTCAATACGATGTCATGCCTGGATCAGATCGTCCACAGTATCAGACAACACCAAATCATGGGTTGAAGATCTACCCCTCAATGGGACTGGCTTATTCAACAATAAAACTGATGAAACCCTTGAGAATTTTCATAAGATGCGCAAAACGGCAAAATCTTACTCCAATCAGCAGTTTTTGACCTTCCAAAGATCTCAGTACCGTCCCAATCAATCATACTCCCGGTCCTATTTTCAATATCAATACAAGTGATATCATCCATACAAGCAGTTTCGAGCTCAGCAGTCAGAACAGTCTCTCCCGACCCCACAGCCACTTCTGCCTTCCTTTCGCCCCCGCAATGCAACTCATCAACGGCAATCCCTTCCCAAGAATCAAAGGAAGGGTAAGCAATTCTGAATACTCTTTTCAGTGTCTCTCTAGCCTTAGAGACCTACAACCCTCTTTTCAGACCAGATTGGCACCATACTTAAGTTACTGGCAAAATATTACTAACGGCCAATGGGTCCTTGCTATCATTGTCCATGGCTACAAAATCGAATTCTGTACCCTACCCCCTATGGGACTCATCCAACCCACCCCTTTCTTCCCATCCTTCAGGGCGAAATCACCACTTTAATTTCCAAGCAGGACTATTGTCCCTGTACCACAATTCTATTGGCATAATGGATTCTGTTCCAAATATTTTACTGTTTCCAAAAAAGATGAAGGACTCTGTCACATTCTGGACTTGAGGCACTTAGTTTCATTCGACCCCGTAAATTTTGAATGCTTACCCTAGATAGGTAAAGGTAAAGGTTCCCCTTGACAATTTTTGTCCAGTCATGTCCGACTCTAGGGGGCGGCGCTCATCCCGCTCTTCAAGCCATAGAGCCAGCGTTTGTCCGAAGACAATCTTTCCGTGGTCACATGGCCAGTGTGATTTAGACACGGAACGCTGTTTACCTTCCCACCGAGGAGGTCCCTATTTATCTACTCGCATTTGCATGCTTTCGAACCGCTAGGTTGGCAGGAGCTGGGACAAGCGACGGGTGCTCATTCCGTTGCGTGGATTCGATCTTACGACTGCCGGATCTTCTGACCCTGCAGCACAGCCTTCTGCGGTTTAGCCCACAGCGCCACCACGTACCCTAGATACCATTATCCATTTGCTTTCACAGAATGACTTGATTCATCATAATTGACCTACAGGATACCTATTTGCACGTATCAATATACCCTTTGTACCAAAAATACCTCTGTTTTTATTTCGACAACGCTGCCTACCAATTCTGTTCTCTCCCATTTGGACTCTCTACGGGACCAAGAACTTGGCACTGGTCGCAGCTTTTCTGTGGCTGCAGGGTATAAACATCTTCCCTTGCATCGATGACTGGCTGATAGTCACAACATCATACCACAAGCCACAAGAGACACCACTGTACATACACTGAGGAAACTAGGACTCAAAATCAACCTGGAAAAGTCACATCTCCAACCAAAATAAACAGCCACCTTCATTCGAGCAGAGATAGATTCGACGCAAGCAAAAGCTTTCCTCCCTCACAAGAGATTCGCAAAAATAAAGAAGTCAATTGCCTCATTCCAACCTCTTCAAACACTATCTGCACATCACACTCAATGCCTTCGCGACCTCATGGCCTCCACGACATCATTGATTCTACATGCCAGACTCAAAATGTGACCACTTCAATCCTGGTTTCTAGCCCTGCTCGATCCCGTGATAGACCCCCCCTCACCAAGATGATATTAGTCACGGATGACCTAGCCACCCAACTTACATGGTGGACCTATCTTCCAAACCTGCACACCGGTCGATCCTTTTCGTCCCTTCAGCCCACGATACAGGTCACTACCGATACCAGCCCTTCTGGATGGATGGCCCATTGCCTGCATCACAAAATTCACGGCCTGTGGTCAAAGAAAGAACAGACTCTTCACATAAACCACCTGGAGTTACTTGCGATCATAAGTGCTTTCAATGCCTTTCTCCCACTCATCAAGGGACAGGTCATCCAATTAGCAATAGACAATACGACAGCACTTTTTTATGTCAACAAGCAGGGAGGCACTCACTCCCTTTCCCTTCTATATCTTGCTGTCAACCTATGGGAGCAGTGCTATCAAAACCAAATATTTCCAATAGCAGTCCATATTATGACAGATGACAACTATCTCGCGGACCACCTCAGCCGTCTACCATCGGGAACACAGGAATGGTCCCTGAACGATACCGTATTCCATCAACTGTGCCATCGGTGGGGCTCTCCATCAATCGATCTTTTTGCAACATGACTCAATCGCAAATGCATGATATTCTGCTCCAGAACTGGGTCAGACAACCACTCCATCAGGGATGCATTCATGGTGGACTGGTCCAAGGAGTTCCTTTATCTCTTTCCACCGATACCACTCATCCAGCATACAATCATTTGGATTCGACAGTTCAAGGCTCATGCGATCTTCATAGCCCTGAGTTGGCCCGAACAGCCCTGGTTCACTCTCCTAACATTGATGTTCACAGACCAGGTCCATCTTCCTCTAATCCCAGATCTTTTGACTCTCAATCAAGGCATGATTCACCATCCAAACCTAACCTCTCTCAATCTTACAGCATGGAAGATATTCCAGAGGTGATGGAAGTCTTACAACGGGCACGTAAACCTTCGACTCTCTCCTTATAAAAAATAAATAGAAATTATTCATCAAGTACACCAACAATAAGAACTTACCTGCTGTATATGTTTCACTTAGTACAGTGGTGCCTCGCTTAACGAGTGCACCATTTAACGACGAATCCGCATAGCGACGCGTTTTATGCGATCGCATTGCAATGTTTTAGGTGGCAAAACATCGCATTGTGATGATCAGTAAGCGTTTCGCTTACCGATCTTCGCATTGCGATGTTTAGAAAACAGCTGATCGGCGGTTCCAAAATGGCCGCCGGGTGCAGAAAATGGCCAGCCGCAGCGTTTTCGCCCTGCCCTCGCTTACCAAGGCGGCGAAAATGGTGGCCGGATGGGGAATCTTCACTTACCGGTGAGTTTCCCCCCCATAGGAATGCATTAAACTGACTTTAATTTGTTCCTATGGGGTTTTACGTTCCGTATAGCAATGTTTCCGGATAGCGACGTTAATCCTGGAACGGATTAATGTCGCTATGCGGGGCACTACTGTACCTTACTTACCTTCCTCCTCCATCTCTTCGAAGTTGGCCTGTCATTATCAACTCTGAGGGTATACATTTCTGCCATTTTTGCCCACCAACCCGACAACTCCCCTTCTACGAAACTATTTTCACATCGTACTGTCAAGAAATTCCTCAAGGGACTCAACAACATTCGCCCACCACATCAGCATATTATACCACAATGGTCTCTCCAGACAGTGCTAAACGCCTGAATGCATCCACCATTTGAATCCATGTCCTCTTCAAGCCTGCAGTTACTTACCTGTAAAACAGCATTCCTTGTAGCTATCACGTCAGCAAAAAGGGCTAGTGAACTTGCCACTCTTGGATGCAATCCACCCTTTACCCAGTTTCACTCTGACAAGGTGACATTGTACTTTGATGTGTCCTTTCTGCCTGAAGTCTGATTTTCTTTTCATATCAACCAACCCATTATCTTGCCATCCTTCTTTAAATCCCCATCGTCTCCGCTAGAGCATATGCTCCATACTTTGGATGTCAGGAGGGCCCTGTCCTTTTACTTAGACAGGACTAAGTCCTACAGGAAGTCCAATAGATTCTTCATTTGCTTCCATGGTCCCCACAAGGGAGCCCCTGCATCATCTCAATTTATCTCTAGGTGGATAGTTTACACCATCTCTCTAGCTTATAAGCTTTTGGGAAAGTAACCTCCTGAACACCTTAAGGCTCATTCAACAAGAGCCCTATCCACTTTGGTTGCCTTCCAACGTGGAACCGAGATCTCATACATCTGTCGGGCTGCTACATGGTCCCCACCATTGACCTTCATCAAGCACTACCAGCTAGATGTCAAAGCAAGACAAGATGCTTCATTTGGCAGAGCTGTGTTGGCATCCTTCCTCCCGTGATGTCCCACCTGCCGGTAAGTGAAGCTTGCTAGTCACCCATATGTGTGCATTCACAGAGGCCACGAAGAAGAAAGAGAGGTTACCTACCTGTAACCACAGTTCTTCGAGTGGTCCTCTGTGAATTCACACTACCCACCCATGCTCCCCTCTCCTTGTCACGGTTTACTTAAATTTCTACTCTTTTAACACCTGATGGAAAAAATCTAGGAACTGAGGGGAATGGAGGGTGGGAGGAGCATATGCCTTCTGGGGGAATCACACCACTAAATTGTTACTTTCAGCTCTAGAATCTTCCGAGAACATCAGCGCAGGCGCAGAAAAGGCCCATATGTGTGCATTCACAGAGGACCACTCAAAGAACTATGGTTACAGGTAGGCAACCTCTCTATTTTAAGTTTGGTTGACAGTTATCAGATGTAATGTCAGAGTGGTTAAGGGTATGGTGGGGAATTGGCACTTGATGTGACTCAGATATTTCCAAGGAGCACAGAAATGTCCTCCATAGTCAGAGATGTTATATAAACCAGTGTTACGCATTATATATGCCCTGACATGTTAGAGGGTGATTTATTGTACAGTTAGGTCTGGAAATAATTGGACACTGGCACAAATTTTGTTATTTCGGGTGTTTAGCAAAATAAATTCAAGTTACAGTTAACTAACAAATACTTAAGCCTCACAGGTTTAAGTTGAGGGGATTCATATCCAAATTGGAGAAAGGGTTTAGAAATTACAGTTCTTTAATATGTAGTCCCCTCTTTTTCAAGGGACCAAAATAATTGGACAGTTGACTCAAAAGCCGTTTCATGGACAGGTGTGAGCTATTCCTTCATTATTTCATCATCAATTAAGCAGGTAAATGGTCTAGAGTTGATTCCAGTTTTGGCTTTTGCATTTGGAAACTCTTGCTGTGAACTCACAATATGTGTTCAAAGGAGCTCTCAGTGCAAGTGAGACACCCTTAGGCTGAAAAAAGAAAATAAAAAGGAAATCCATCAGAGAGATAGCAGGAACATTAGGAGTGGCCAAATCAACAGTTTGGTACATTGTGAGAAAAGAAGAACACAGTTGTGAGCTCTGCAAGACAAAAAGGCCGGGGCGTCCATGGAAGATAGCAGTGGTGGATGATTGTAGGATCCTTTCCATGGTAAATAAAAAACCCCTCACAACATCCAGTCAAGTGAAGAACACTCCAGAAGGTAGGCGAATCATTATTAAAGTCTACCTTAAAGAGAAGGCTTTGCAAGAGAAATACATCACAAGGTCAAAAATTCATAAGTCTCATGAATAGAAAGGCCAGATTAGCCTCTGCCAAAAAATATCTTTAAAAGCCAGCCCAGTTCTGGAACAGTATTTTTGGACAGATGAAACTAAGATCAACCTGTACCAGAATGATGGGAAGAAAAAAGTATGGAGAAGTCTTGGAACAGTTCATGCTCCAAAGCATACCACATCATATGTAATACATGATGGAGGCAGTGTGATTATATGGACACCCATGGCTTCCAATGACACTGGGTCACTAGTGTTTATTGATGTGACAGAAGCAGCCAGATGAATTCTGAAATGTATAGAGATATATAGTCTGCTTAGATTCAGCCAAATTCAGCAAAGTTGATTAGATGGCATTTCACTTTATAGAAGGACAGTGACCCAAAACGAGAGCAACTCAGGACTTTTTTAAGGGATAGAAGTGGGATATTGTGCAATGGCTGAATCAGTCACCTGATCTCAACCTGATTAAGCATGCATTTCACTTGCTGAAGACAAAACTGTAACGGGCATCCCTCAGTTTTTTCTTGCCGCCGCTTTGGACACATCTAGGAACTTTCTGGGGCTACCACTCAGAAGTGGTTTTTCCTTCCGCTTACTCTTTTCAAATTCATTGTGGTGGCATGCACAGCCAGAATTATGGAAATTGTGTCAGTGCCCAATTATTTCCGCACACAACTGTATGCTTTAAAATGTGTCTCTGTTTCAGTTGTAGATTCCCATGTCCGTGATGTAGCTCTCCTAACAGGATGAAAGGCTGTGATTTGATTTAAATTAATAACCCAGTTTTCTGTAGATTTTAGTTAAATTTAATTTACATTAAATTATGCTGCCCATAATAAAATTGTTATGTAGATTTGGAGGAGGGTATCAATGTGAACTCTTCATTTCAAAGTAATTTGGATAATGTTCCGATCCATAGGATATAATAAAACCAATCGATATACCTGTCCCTAAAGCTGCTAGAAGGGGAAGGAAAAGAAAGGTAAGATTTAATATTTTTGTGGTGTTTTATGTTTTTGTAAACATTGATTGGATCATCAACTGCATTTCAGAAATATAGAATGCTGCTGGAAAGGTATCCGTTCTTAACAGTGCAGAAATTACATTATTTCAGAAAATGCCCGTGAAGACCATCTTACACTCTTTTTCAGAAATTACAGCCAGTATCTGCCTATACAGTGGGAGAAGTGGCAGTGGCAGATTGCTGCTAATTAAATATTTTCTTTTTGGATGTTGAAGTGCATGCAGCTCCAGGGTTGCCACTTTCTGGAGAGTCAGGGAAATGAGAATTGGTCAGGGAAATTGTGGTTAAAATATATTCAGGCAGTGGATTTTTTACTTGCTGCTGCAAGGGCATGATATGTTCTTGGGGCAACTGGAATAGAGAAGTAGCATAATACAAGTAAAACTTAATGATGCCTTTTCCCAGCCCCACCCCCAGCAACCAGCTTAATGTGTTTGTTGAATTCTGTCCCTGCATGATTTCCAAAGTCTGCCTGTAGCATTTGCAAAGCAAGACTAGTTTAAACATTTAGCAAGATACAAATTTTAAACATCTAAATGTTTTCATCCCTACCTGCTAGAACTGCATTGAACTTACATATACAGTGGTGCCTCGCTTAGCGATCGCTCCGTTGAGCAATGAAATCGCTTAGCGATGGGGTTTTGGCCATTGCCAGAGCGATCGCTTAGCAATGGCCCCTATGGGTAAAAGTCGCTTTGCGATGATCGCGGGGAAGCGATCATGGCAAAGCGACCCTTTCTAAACAGCTGATTGGTGGTTTCAAATTGGCCGCCGGAAAAACAAAATGGCCGCTCGCCGTGTGTCCTCGCTTTAGAGGCACAAAAAATGGCCGCCCCTATGGAGGATCTTCGCATAAGGTCAGTTTTGAAGCCCATAGGAACGCATTAAACATGTTTTAATGCGTTTCTATGGGATTTTTTAAATCGCTTAGCGACGAAATCCCTTAGGGATGTTTTTTCCTGCATGGATTAACGTCACTAAGCGAGGCACCACTGTAAAGATAAGCATGTTTTTGGATCATGCTTGGATATGGAATGGACATTTTGTCTCCTGCTTAAACCGAGCAGAGAGTTGCAAATGAGTTTTGCTTCTGTTGGATTTCAGTCAGCTAGCACTTTCTACTCTGCGCCATGCAAAGTAAATTTTTCAAATGTGAATCCTTGTTCCTGCTGGTGTTTACAGAGTACCAGCACTCTCATCCTCTTCCCTGACTTCTCCCATTTAGAAAGGTTGCGAATGAATGAGGGTTCTCTGCTTCTCTAGATTGCAGAAATGATTTGCAAGCATTTGAACTCCACCTCCTTTCTTGCTGTTGATCTGCTCATTACATTTTCTGGAACCAGAAAGTGAAAATTAAACTTCCCCAACTTTGGAAAGTTCCTACTTGCCAGAAAACAAATCTGCTAACATGTTGGCGTCAGGCAGGTAGTTCTGTGTACGGCTGTACCTGAAACCACATTTTGAAGGTGGCTTCTAAGCAGACAGTTTTTAATATGCAGTGGCTGGATTTCAGATTTCATCCTGAGTTTGTTCCATGGCTATCACCAGTTGCTGGACACAAATGCAAAGGTTATTTTATTGTAAAGTATGCTACAAAACCTTTGAACCAAGTAATATGGGAATGAGCTGTGGGGTCTCATTCACAAGTCTCATTACATCAGAAGAACATAAAAATTAAATCAAGTCAACAGTCCATCGCAATATGTTTAGGTTCAAAGCCAAGTACAAGTTCAAATAGTAAAACCAGAGAGGGTAAAGAGACAGCCCCTGCAAAAACTGGAAAACATGATCAGAGCAATGAAAATGATAAAGAATTACCCACCACACAAACTAGTATGGCTGCCTATGTAATCAAGGACTGTTAGGACAGCAGAGTGCCTGTGAGCTTTGCAACTGGTGATGAAGATGTTATTTAACTCTTGTAACAACATATGTGAGTTATTCAAGCAAATGTTCTCAGACAGCTCAACAGTCTTGGAAAAACAAAAGCAATGCATGTTGCTCTTGACTTAGCACCATATTTCTGTTTTTTTACTGAAACAGCTGAAACAATGCCAAACATTTGTTAACTGTTTTGATGAAGCTTTGAATAAGGTGGTTCAAAAGGGACAAATGGATTTATAGTGGTTCGTTTTAGGGGTGATTACTGTTACAAAGTTTCCACAAGGTATCTAACCTATCTTCAAACTGCTACTGCTGAAGACCTTCTTCAGAAGTTTCAAGACGACATGTCTACTTTATCAGTAGCAAAATTATTACAAGTATCTGTGGATGGGCCAAATGTGAATCACTTTTTTCTGAGAAAACTAAAAGAAGAAATTAAAACCAACCTTGACTGTAAAGGAGAAGGAAAAGAATAGATTGACTTTGGAACTTGTACCCTTTGTTTTGTACATGGCTCTTTTAAAACAGGATTGTAAACAGTAAAATTGGACTTGAATTCGGTCTTGTGCAACATGTATGATCTGTTCAAAGATTTCCCAGCTAGGAGGACATCATACACTTTTTGACTGGAAGCACACTGTTTCCTCTGAAGTTTTGGTCTACTAGGTGGTTAGAGAATGTTAAGTGCCTTGACAGAGCTATGACTGTTTTTGACAATATCAAAAAGTATGTGGAAGAAGCAAACCTCCCCCACAGTAAACCTGCAATTTGTATAAAAGCTGCTATGCAAGATCCACTCATGAAGTACAAAATGGCTTTCATGAAAACAATTTCTGGAGATTGTGAGCCATTTCTACAAAGGTTTCCAACCAAAAACCATTGTTACCTTTTTTGTATGAAGAACTAGCCACCTAGAGTGGTCTTAACCGACCAGATAGGTGGGATATAAAATAAATAAATAAATAAACTTTGTAAGCTAATTAAGAAGCTAATGAGCTAATAAAATTGGAAAAGGTGCAAAAAGTGTTTTCTGGTTCCCGGTTGTTAACAATTGACGTGAAATTGTCTGAGAACTTGATTGACAGAAGCAAGGTTGACATTAGCTTTGCAGCAAAGAAGCTGCTGAAAGAAACTAAACTGAGTGAACGTCAAGTGGCCAAGTTTTGCCTAGAGTGTCAAAACATGGTAGTAGCTCTTCTTGAAAAGTTGATTGAGAGAAGTCCTTTGAAGTTCAAGATGATGTGTGACTTATCAGCATTAGATCCTACTATCATTTTATACAAGCCAAATCTTGGAATCACCAGAATAGGGGCTGTTCTTGAAGCTCTACATCTTGAAGCTCTACATGCAGGAAAATCATATCAATGACACAGTAGCGGAAAAATCACATCAACAGTACACTACAATATCAAGCATATGTTACAAAACAAAATGATGAAGTTGTACTAGATACGTTTTACAGTGATATTTTGATGTCCCACAAATGTTCTCAGACCTGTGGACTATTGTCAAAATGTTCCTTAACCTGTCTCATGGTAATGCTTATGCTGAAAGTGGATTTTCAGTTAATAAGTCAATGTTAATTGAGAAATTGCATGAATAAATTTGTCTGCCATGGTCAGAGTTACGATGCTGTCTTGAACTGTGGAGGGCTTGCATCGTTGTACAGTAATTGATATGAATCTGTTGCAGTCAGGCAGGTATGCTCATGCATGCTACACAAAGCACTTAGGGGCCAAACACCATAAGCAACAAGAAGAAATTCAGAAGAAAGAAGAGAAGAAACTTGAGGGACAAATTAAACTTCTTGAAAATGCTTAAACAAATGAGAGAAAAAGCCAAAATGGAAGAGGATGAGAAACTAAAAGAGTTATGAAATAAAAAGAGAAAACTGTAGAAGTGATAGTTTTAGATCTTAAATTTTTATTCTTAAAAACAGACTACTTGTATTCTAATTTCTAACATGAATATTAGTGCAATTTCAAAACTACAATTTTCGTAATGTGGCTTCAGAGAAACCATTTTAGATAGAATGATTATATAATTTTTAGTGTTCCTTTAAAACAATAACAAAAATGTTATGCCATTTGTTAGCATTCAGAGTTTACTTGAATTGAATTTTGTATCTTGGTGTGATTTTTTGGTGCAATTGCAAAACAGATTGCTGCAGTTAATGTTGGAAGAAGCTGATATTAAATCTCTTACTTTGACAAATATTTTTACAGTTGAGATTTGTTTAGTTGTAGGGTAGGACATTTGTTTAGAACGTGCATTAATGCAGGGGTCTCCAAACGTTTTAGTGTGAGGGTCACATCATATGTATTTTAGACATTTTCAAGGACCGAAGGAGGGAAGGAAGTGAGGGATTGCTTGGGTCCTCCTTCCCTTCCCTCCTCTTCCTTATGCCCAGGCCGGATAAAAAGGCAAGGCAGTCTGGATGTGGCCCATGGATCGTAGTTTGGAGTCCCCTGTATTAATGCAACATTTTGGTTATATTTGAACGGTGGTCAGGGAAATTGAGAAATGTTGGTCAGGGAAATGAAAAATAAAATTTCAGTGGCAACCCTGAACTCACACAATGATACCAGGTCAGACATGTGTCATTAGCAAATTAATACCAAGCTGCCACTGCTATAACTTCCATTGCACAAGTAGTGGTATGTAGCAGGATACTGGCCAATAAGGTACTAAATTTGCATCTTCCCCTTTTTCCATAATAAGTCAGAGATGATAGGTTGGTTCTTACGATTCCATTCATGGGAAGAGTTCTTAATAAACAGAATTATCTTTTGATTCCATGGAAAGTCTTGTTGATGGGAGGAAAGGGAATGGCAGCATATTCCTGTTTCAACTTAATAACTCTCACTATCTTCCAAAACTTCTGGGCTGTTTATTTTATTTTAGGCAGAGTGTATGTGTGTAGAAATTACCTCTTTTCCCTTTTCATTAGCAGGCTCTGGGATCATCCTTTTCATAGTTAGAATGTAATTCTGTCAACTCCCTGGGACCAGCCAAGATGCCCCAGTGAGCAGGGATTTCAGCTGAGATTTATCCAGTGCCCCGTCTAGGCAAACACACTCCATCCACTACTTGATATGAAATCTCTGGTTTTTGAAAATATATATCACAGTTGGTAGCAGCATCAATATAGTTATGGATGGTTATGAGTTTTATCTAAAGCTGGCAGTCCAGAGTAATCTTAATTATGCTTTGCAATCCTCATGTTACACCACATTTTGCTAATGTTCTCTTATGATTTTAAAAAGGTGAACCCAATGATAGATAATTCTTTTTTAGTTTGTTTCTACAATCTGATTGGATCATATAAAGGAATTTCTTTAATACAGGCTGAAAAACAAGCAGAAATTGAAGAGGCAGCAGCAGTGGCAGCAGCAACAACTGCCGTGATTACAGCTCCAAAAGCAAGCCCTAAACGAGGAAGGCCAGCTGGTAAATTACAAAGCTGATCTTTGTCTATTAATCCTAAATTTTTTCAGATTGATATTACTTAGAAAGATCATTTTTAGATAACAAAGCACTGGAAACAAGTTTCTAGAAAGCTTTCTCTCAGACATCACTGTGATGCATGTCCCTTCCCTGTATCCTGGGGTTAAGGTCTCAGTGCTATAGTTTCAAACTATTCAGCCTATGGATATCACCTCACGGCATGGTATAGAAGTTCTTAAACACAGAGGAAAATCCTGTTGTCTACATTTACGCCAGCATGACCCAAATTGGATACCAGAAATATTTAATTTCAACAAATTGAAAGTTTCCTATCTATCCCTTTCAGATTTCAAGACTTTGTAGGGCTCCCTTATCCTGTATCCCTTATCAAGACTCTGGGAACCTCAAGACAGTGGTGGCTGGGAAGCCTTTAATAGTAAAAAATTGTTGCTGAGATTGGGACTTCTGACAGTGATTTTTTACTATTAAAGGCTTTCCTCAGACCACTGTGCTGAGGTTCCCTTGCATTTTTCTTTGAGTTATGAAATAGTACAGTGCAAATGCTAATGGTACAGGATAAATGTTGGAAACCTACATTTTTTCTTTGCAAACACTTATCAGTATGAATGCGTGGAACACAATAGAGCAAACTAGTATGTTCACTTAGGACAGTAATCTCTTGGTTGTTGAATGGAGAAGTAAGGAGGCCATTTTCTGTCTGTGATGGCTAGCAGTTGAACTAATTTCCCAATCACTGAAATAAAAATCTAAACTTTCTCCTACTTGTGTCTTTGTGGACTGTGGTTAAAATTCATATTTTATAAGATAAAAATATGTTTTTACAATAAGGGTGACGTGTTTTGCGAGCTCTATCTTGTTGTTTGTTGTTTTCATGCCAAGATGGCAGACAAAGAGAAATAAGGAACCTAAGTGGAGCAGCGGGGCTATCGCCTTTCAGATCATAGCTTATCAATACTTATAGAGTGGGAACTTTTAAAGTGGAAACAATATCAATTGTTTTCTGTAGAAAGTTCAGTGATGGATAGTTGAGATAAGTAAGTACTTGCCCCAGTCACAGGAAGCAGGAGGTGCTTGCCTGAAGCATAGATCTAATAATAAATAACTTCCTAAGTCACAGGAAGGAGGAAAGGTCTTGAAACAGAGATCAAATCATATAGATGTAACTTATGAGATCCACCATAAGAAGTGAAATGTCAAAAAAGCATAGATTATTAACAGAATTTAAGAAATTGGAAGAACATCTCCAAGGAGCTTGAAGAACTGAAAACAATGCGCTCATCATTTTAAACATGAATGGAGCAAAGTGCAAAGAAGACAGTGGCACATGTTAAACCAGAATTACATAAAATGAAACCTGAGGTTAAAGATCAATTGAAGATACTGGGTTCAAAAGTGAAGGAAGTTGATATAATGGTTAAAGTCAATGTTAGAGAGTTATATTGGCTGACTGAAGTTGATTAAAAAATGATTGATTTGGAGGTTAGAGGTTGAAGGAAAAAATGTGTACAGTGGTGCCCCGCATAGCGACGTTAATCCGTTCCGGAAAAAACGTCGCTATCCGGATTCCTCGCTATGTGGGGCAAAAAAGCCCATAGGAACGCATTAAAACACGTTTAATGCGTTCCTATGGGGGGAAAACTCACCTTTAAGCAAAAATCCTCCATCCGGCCGCCATTTTTGGTGCCTGGTAAGCGAGGCAACACAGCGGGCGGCCATTTTGGAACCGCCGATCAGCTGTGCTTCGGTGCTGGCTCCAAGGGGAGGGAGAGCCAGTGCCGAAGCACAGCTCATCGGCGGGGGTTGGCAAAGATCGCGGGGAAGCCAGCTTCGCAAACCCCCGCCTTGGCTCTATCTCTCTCTCCACCCCTTGCAACTCCAGCCTGGGCAGGGAGACTGAGGCACTGTGCCGCCATGGCCAGAGTCCCCCCCCTGTTGGCTCATAGAAGCTGAGGATGTTGGCTTGTGGAGTAGAGCACAGGGCGAGGGGGCGGCCTCCCTCTGGAGTCCCTCCGGACTCCAGAATGTCGGGACTCTCGGTGTGGGCAGGAGAGACGGGGGGCATCCAGGCTTGGAGGGCGACGGAGGAGCCCCCTCTTCTCCCGTGGGGGCCCGGCACTCCTGTCCCGTCAACCTGGGTCGCTCCGCCCGCCCAGCCGGCTCACCCACCCACCCACCGGGGCCCCTTCGTCCCTGCATCCCTCCCTCCATCCCGTGGGGCTTACCGGACCAGAAGAGCAGCTTGTCACGGGCCTCGGCCTGGGAGCCGGAGTCGCCAGCCAGGAGTGTAGAGGTGGTGCCATAGGGCAGCGGCTCACCCAGGCAGGCGTGCTCTTCCAGGGGTTCGCAGGGTGCAGCGCGGCGGCACCACTCCCGGCCTGGCCCGTTCAGCGGCTGCGAGGGGGGGAGCCCCCTGACGCCCAGGCTGAGGCTGAAGCACAGCAGCCTGAGCCCCAGGCCCAGCCCGACCAGCTGCCCGCCCCCGGCCATCGCGG